CTGGCTGGGCCTGATCCCTTGGTTGTCCTTCTTATTCCCTGTGAGGACTCTCAAGACAAACTACTCCATGATCTTCCCTGGTACAGAGATCAGGCTGACAGGCCTGTAGTTCCCAGGATCCTCTTTCTGGCCTTTCTTGTAGATGGGCGTCACATTGGCAAGCCTCCAGTCATCTGGGACCTCCCCTGTTAACCAGGACTGCTCATAAATGGTGGAGAGAAATGGAGATGGTTCTTGCCTTCTTCCCTCTTCACCCCATCTTGTGTGTATTCATCTCTTGCCTTACAGTTCAAGCATTTGAGCTTTTCCTTTTTGACAAGGTAGCATCTTAGCAGTGTTGGCATCCAGATTATAACTCCACTTGATGTATGCAGCCTTCTTGGTGCCAGCAGTGCTGGATGGCATGATGCTTATTGCCCGTGTGCTGTGGATGTTTATAGGCTTCCGTTAGGCTTGTCATCAGAGAAGGCTAAGATATTTTGTGATGCTTCCTTGGAATATTGTCACTTACTGTGGTTTTACCTTTTCCTTGATTCCTGAAGTTTGCATTCGTATCTAAATTACAGCAAGTTGAAAATCTTCATTACATAAACTTATGCTCTCGAATTTTTTTCTTTTGTTGTCAAACTGTTGTTTGAATATTATGTTACATAGGTAAGTTCCTTTTTTTTATCTCCAGGGCCATCTGCAGATGGTGTTACCTTTCATAATGAAGGCCAAGGTGCCATTTCAGAAATAGTAAGGGGAATGCTGCTTTCCCTGTGTCTTCTGCAATAACAAGATGCATAACACAAAGAAGCAAGTAATGGAAACAAGCTCTGAATCCAGATGCTGGAATTGCAAGCTAATTTTTTTAGGATAATTTGTAATAAATCAGACAATTATCCTACCTTTCTGCATGTTTCCCACGAGCAGCAACTCTGATTTATTCAAAATACCTCCATAAACTAATTGTGAAATTGCATTGCTGTGCTCCCACCTAGGTACCATCTGTTAAAGTCCAAGGCACTCATACTAGGAGGAAATTGTACTAGGAGTCTCTGGCTTGGTACATCGGAGCTGTGGGGTGAAGGAGTTGGTGCAAATTCTGCATGTGCAACAGACAGCTGTAAAGCCACGCAAAACATACCAGTTGATGTATGGAACAACTGAAAGAAAAGTAGTGCTGGCAGCCTGGTGTTTCAACATGTTCTCCCCTGATCAGGTGTACCTTGGGTGCCTGTTAGCGTGTTTAGTCTCTGATTCTGAGCTGTTGCTCAAAAATCGGGAATAACGGTGGTTATGGGCAGCAGCAGACAGGGACAAGATTCAGCTTTGCCACCTGGCTCAGGCAGATACCAGGCCAATGTGGGGCTTGCTTTGTGTCTGAAGCAGAGGCCTTTTGCATATTGAAAACTGCATTTACCAGCTTTTGGCATATGAAGTATTGGCTACAAAATGAGGATTTTCTACCAGTGGTTTTAAGATTGTGTTGCTTTGGTGACATGGCACAGAATGGCAGTCTTCCCCCAGTGAATCTGGCCCTCCCAGATTGCTCTTGCCAGTGTGCTCAGAGTCAGTGGCTTTCATATTTTTTTCAGAATCTCTCTTGTTTTCTTGCTGCTTGCAAACACTTAGATATACAATGCTCTTATCATTTTCTTCCACAACAGTCGTACCCTATCTTGTTCGAACACTTGGTTTGGACAGTTCTCACTGCTGCTTGGATCAGCAGAGTTGTATGTCTTTTCTCTAATGCTCTAATGGTTTTCTTATTGAGGTAAAGTTTACAAAACAAACAAATGGGGTTGTCATTTAAATTACCTTCCTTTTTTCAAGGCATGGACTCAGCAGCAAGCCCAAGAAATCTGCAGATCGATCACTGGTGAAATTTTGATATTTTGAATATGATTATCTAAATGCCATAAGAAGAAGATAGATAGTACTTCTTTTGCAGGGAAGAAGAGCATACTAACGCTTTTCTGATTAGGCTGTGTTTGAGGTCTTTTTTCCCCCCAAAATAAATAATTTTTTGAAAAATTGGTTTCTTTAATAGTAAATTTCTTCTTCGTTTGTAGGGAGGTTCCTATGAAGGATGCCAAAGAATATGCAGAATCTATAGGTGCAATTGTTGTTGAAACCAGTGCAAAGAATGCTGTTAACATTGAAGAACTTTTTCAAGGAATAAGTAAGTAAATGCTCCATTTATTTATTTATTTTTATTTGTGATTGTTTGGAGGTTTTCTGAAAAGAGCTGTCTGGTTTGGGTCTAAAAAACTTCTTTCCCAAGGACACAAAGAAATCCACTGGGCCAGTAGTATGGCTGCCGTTTATGCAGATGTAAATGAAGAAACTCTGAATACACCAGCGCAAAACATAGTAGATAGTGGATACGGGATAAGTCTATTCCTTCTAAATCTGTATATAAATCCTGACCTGGGTCACATCATCTTTTTCAGACCAAGCCTGCTGTAGAGGCGATACTGTTGATCTTACCATCACGTTGATAAAAACTTAATGTTGAAAAATGTGCCTGGAGGGCTATGATAAGTAGAAAATAGTCATTGCAGTGGAATCCGTTTAAAAAAAAAAATTCTCTCCAAGTCTTTTAAACAAGATGAGACTGACATTCCTCATGAGGAGAATTAAAAACATCTTGCTCAGTTTGCCTTCTAAGGGTTCCAGTTTTGGTCTCTGGCTGCAAGTGGGAAGGACCCTGCAGGCTGGAAGGGACCTCAGGAGACCTTCAGTCCAACTTCCTGCTCAAAGCAGACTTGATAGTGATTTCAGACCAGGTTGCTTGGGCCGTTGTCTGGCTGGGCGCAAGAGCGGAGGTTCTACGACTTCTCTGGGCAGCTAAGTCCAGTCTTTAAATAGTCCTTACAGTGGTATCCCCCCTGGTGTATCAAGTCAGAACCTCTCCTGAATCAATGCACAGCCACCATGGCTCATTGTCCTGTATGCGCCTCAGTAAAGAGCCTGGTTCTGTCTTCTTAGCAGCCCTCCCCATAGATACTGGCAGGTGGCTTTGCAATCCCCCAAAGCCATCTCATCTCCAGGCTGCAGGCACCATTTCCTCAGCCTCTCCACACAGGGCAAGTGCTCCAGCCCCCTGACTGTCCTGGTGGTCCTCCTCTGAACTTGTGCCAGGCTGTCAACATTTTTCTTCTATTGTGGGGCTGAAAACTTACCCAGCTTGTGTTAGACTGTATCTAGAAGGGGTTAACCACTTCACGTGATCTACTGTGGCTCTTGTAGGTGGGACTTAGGATGCTGTTGGCCATCTTTGCTGTCAGGGCATGCTGCTGGCTCGTGCTCAGCTTGCTGCCCTCAGTTCCTTTTTGGTAGAGCTGCTTCCCAGGCAGCCAGTCCCCTGCCTGTCTCATAGCCAGGGGCTCTTCCTTCCCACAAGCAGGGCTTGGCATTTGTCTTTTCTGAACCACATCAGGCTCCTGTTGGCCCATTCCTTCCTCCAGCCTAAGGCCTTCTGAACAGCAGCCCTGCCCTCAAGGGTACTGAATGCACCTCAAGTTGGGTATCATCTGAGGGTTGAAGTGGATGCATATTTTTTCCTTCTTCAGGCCACTGATAAAAGGTATTAAGCAAGGTACTCCACTTGTAACTGACCTACAGGTAGATACATACTGTTAACCACTGGCCTTTAAGTCAGATCCAGCCAGTTTTTCCCACAGCTAACAGTCTGCCTATCTAGACTATAACATCCCAACTTGGATACACCAGGATGCTGTAGGAGAAAGTATCAAAAGCCTTGCTAAAGTCAAGGTAGACAACATCCAATGCTTTCCCTCAATTATAGATCCAGTCATACTATCATTTAAGGCATCCAGGTTGGTTGGATATCATTTACACTTGGTAAGTCCATGCTGACTGGTCCTCGTCATTTCTGCACCTTCATGTGCTCAGAAGCAGCTTCTGAGAGGATTTGCTCCATGGTTTTCCCAGGAAGCAGAGTGAGGCTAACCAGCCTGTAAGATCCATGGCTTGTTATTGCCATTTTTGAAGGCAGATATAACACTGACCTTTCTTCAGTCACAGGGGACCTCCCTCATTCTCTACAGCCTTTCAAAAAGATAGGGATGATAAAGAATGGCCTTGCAGTAACACTGGCTTGCTCCCCCTGCATCCTCAGGCTTGTATGGGTTGGGATTTCTCAAGAGCTCCATGACTTGATCCTCTTCCACTACTGGTGGTTCCTCCTCTCCCTGAATCTTGTTTTAGGGTGCAGAGGCCTAGGAGACAGCATGTCCAGAAACACAACTTTGTTTCCTTAAGGTGTTCTGTTTTGTTTTATTTCACATATTCATTATCAGCTCACATTACCTGCCATGCTCTGCCTGAGACAGAGCCTGTTGAAGCGTTTGCTTCACTTGCATGGGACGAATTTGAAATGGTTAATGAAAACTGATATTCCTAGAATACACTACCTTTCTTTTACCTCTTTTACAAAAGGAGGAGTGTGTAACATGGCTGTTCTTCCTTGCGATAGTTTACTTGACTGTTTGCGTCTGATGGTAGTGAATGTTCTCGCAGAGGAACTCATCCTTGCTACGTAATTAGATAATTAGTTTCCATCTTTGATAGGCAGTGCTGCAGCTGGCAGCATACACTGTCGCTAATAATGGATATAATAGATGAGGAAAATCAGCTAAATTAAGTTTAGTATGAACTAGATACCCAGACAAGTGCACTTAATTCCACAGGCAATTATTTCTATATATAGAAATATTTGGTCTCAGTGGATGTACTCATGACCTTATCAAGTACTCAGCAGAGAGAAAAGAGAGAGTTGGTAGTGTATTTTTATAGAAATATAGTGGAAACCAAAGTGAAAAATGCTTAATTAGCAGGAGAATTAACTAGTATGATTGTGGCTGGGCAGAGTGTATGGATAACTTTCTGACGTTTTACACCACTTCAGTCTTCGTGCAATTTCCAAAAAAGTCTGTCTATGCCCAAGTTGCATGGCAGCATTTCTGCCTTTTCAGTGTATGAAATCCCTCTGTGGCCATGTCTCCTATCCGGTTCTAATTTTATTTGTTTGGTGCCCTAGAAGTCATGTTGCAGCTTTAGTTTAGCTTTCACGCTGCCCAGGAGTCCGTGCCCTTCTCTTTGTGCTGCTGTGGAAGGGCACGGTGCAGCTCCCCAGCCTCCGAACAGGAAGACAGCGGCTTCTGTTTACCTTGGGTCTTGTTGGCAGACTGTATGTGTTGCCTGTTTTACAGCTTGGATTTGGAAGGATATTCCAACACACATGGAGAATTTCTCCATTAAAAACCTTCTTGAAATTGATACTCCAGGCAGAAAGGGTAGACTACATTTTAATTTAGCTAAAAAATTTACCTCTTGCTTTCTTATGCTTTTTATTTCCCAGGAGTATTTTAACATAATCATTCTTCCTTCCTAAGGTATCTAACAACTGTCTCGTTCCCAGGGAAAATGTTGTGAACAGAGTGAAATAGTATAATGGGAAAAAATTACTCAAGGTAATGATAGAAAGGAGGTGAAAAATAAAGGGGGAACTGGAATGTTTTGCTGACAACCAGATAAATCTTGGAAAAATGTTAGAGATTATAGCCAGATCACTTCATTTCTAAGGTTTTTATGTTACCGTATTTCTAAAAGACTTTTTTAAAATAAGACTCTCTCAGGATTTGAGGATTTGACTGCTTTGAGGGATGTCTTAATAACGCAGTCTCAACACAAATCCGTTGCCCTTAATTCTTCTCAATAAAATACAAGATGTGAAAGACTAGAGTCAGTAAAATTTTCAGAATTTTTTGAAGATGGGGCAAATCTGGCAGGAGAGGGACTCTGCGGTCGGTGTACTCAGGCGAATAAGGCTGAGGAGACAGACTGAGCACAAGAGTGGACAAGGCTGGTGTTCTCCCCGCTGGAGAGTTCTCACTGAGCTGCGTGATGGGATGCAACTCCTGGCTGGCTGTTGGTACCCCTGTGATTTCAGGCAGCAAGCCACTACGCTTACCCTGGTCCCCTTTAGCAGCGCCTGACTGAAGGCTTGCTGTGATTGTGAAACATCACGTGGCTGTTTTATTTCTCTGTAAACAAGAAAAGAGTATTTTTAGTACAGTTGTATATTCCCCAGTTGGGCTAAGTTTTTCACCAATGTCTTTCTTGAAAGGTTTTTGACATAAAAAAGGCTTAAAATGATAGTGTTTTTTTCATGTGTTCCAGTAGTTCTTTTTAAATATCTGCATGTCTGCAGGATTAAATGTTGCTAACTTTTTTTTATTCCCAGCTTTAGAAGCTGGTACAGTGGCTCCTTGTCGCTGGTTTATACTTCAGCAGCAGCAAAACTGCCAGTAATGTGTTATACAAGAGCAGTGTAATACAGTATCAAGTCGTGCCTGTGCAGGGAGTTATACCAGTTCTACATTGCCCTTTCTTGGTTGTGGGGCTTTAGTCCACTGACCACTGCTTGTGCTTGGGAAGGCAGCTTAGCCATTAAAACCGTCTGGTTTTCAATGACTAAACAAGCTGCCTCAAGTGTACTGTCATTTAGTAGCAATCACACCCTTGCAATTTTCAGGCACCCGTTCATTTAACAACTCAAATAAGCCTTAGTTACCTTAAATATCTAGTACACGCCCAGCAGTTTCTCTTCAGCCTGCGTGGATTGCCTTAGCATGAAGGTGCCCCAGACACGAGAGAGAAGATCACATAAAAGCCATCCTCCGTAAATGATAGAGCCAAGACTGTACCCCCCGGGTTAACACCCGTCTGCATCAGTAGGTGCAAAGGTAAACAGGCGGTGGGGTGAGTAAGCCACTGGAGAATACCCAACCAAGTGAAATATGAAATAAACTTGTGCTTAAACAACAAAATAAATGATGGGCAGGCTTTTTTTTTGTTGTTGTTTTTTTTGAGGTCTGGCAAATGTTTGGAGATTGGTATGCTACCAAAGGGGGCAAGATTGAAGCATTTCAGCATCTTCTGTGAAGGATGAGAGGGAAGTGAGGAATAAAATTATGGGAATCATTCTACAGAAAGTGTAAAGAGTTGTTAGCACACTCGGTCTTACTGATGCTAGTAGTACGAGAAGGAGAGACAAGCTGATGTTTAAAAATCCTGATAAGAACATTCTTCCTAGACAAATCTTTCTAATTAGAGCAGAGAATTTCTGTCTTGGTATACAACCTTTCATGTGGT